GTTTCCGGAGGCATGTTACTTAGGATGTGGATGCCAGCTCATGGATAGGAAGATTCAATATCATAAAAATCACAATTCTACCAAAGGCAATCTACAAGTTCAATGAAATCCCAATACAGATACCAATTCAATTTTTCAACAAAATGCAAAAACGAATTTCCAGTTTTATCTGGAATGGAAAATTTGTCAAATCCAGTATCAACTGAAATTTCAAACATTGTAAAAGATTTAAATACACATGCATTTATTTACACACAGGAGATATGTCCTGTGTTGTTGTTTTGTACCATAAAGTCAAAATCAACCCTTAGCTGACCCTCTGGTGGGTTTCCAGAGTCAGTAAATGACACAGAATGAGATTACCTATCCTATAAAAAATATGCTCTATGGTGAATACGCATATCATACATCTAGCATTATTACTAAAACCTGAAAAACAAGTAACTTAAATACTCATTAGAGTAAATGTTATCATGAATTAGATTTACATTTTGGCCATACTGTGAATATCAAAGTGAATCAGTGTAACTTGTTTTTAAAAATGTGGCAGCTTTTTATATTATGAGAGGCAAAGACCACCAGGTCATTTTCTTAAGTGAGACGTTAATTTTCAGAATTGACTGTATGTTCAACTGGTTATAAATGTAAAAGATATTAAGAGAAACCCTTTTTTAAAATTCTTGGAAGCAGTAGTGGCATCCACTTCCTAAATCACATGCCACCAGAAACCCTATGAACTTTGATAAATTTCAATAGTTGTATAGGGGCTTCAAGCCTTTTGTTAATAGAGTTCTATGAGTTGTGCTCCACTGGAAGGCAATCAACAACAACATTTAAGTTCACTGTTAAACCTTCAAAGCTTAAATTCACAGTTTTTGTTTATTCTAGAAGCAACTTGAGGACTTGAAAAACAAGTTAATATTCGATATTCATTTCAGCTTACAGAGACCTTGTAAAACATAGATTCCCCGTAAGACTTCTGAGATTTAAATCTTTAGAAAAGCAGACCATTACATCTTTGGCTGAGTGTCTGATGAATTCAAACCACTTCTTATCTGAAATCCAGAGAGAGAAAACTAGGAGAGATAGAGGTAGAGGTAGAGATAAAGATAGAGATAGATAGAGATAGAGATAGATACAGAGATAGAGATAGAGATAGAGATATAGAGATAGATGAGATAGATGATACAGATGATACAGATTATATAGATATAGGTGATATAGATATAGATGATCTAGATATATTCTCCTTAAATTTATTTACAAAGTTTGTATCTTACTTATTCTTGGGAAAATAGAATTTTTAAAACAGTAATATTTAACCCTTCAAAAAACAATTCTGAATTTTATCTTAAACACAAAAATATCTAAGTAAAACATTTCTGAACTTATGCTTTTTTTCTAAACTCTGAGTTTCACCCCCACCCCCCACCACAGCATCTACACTTTTCATTAGTCATTTCATTATTGTAGCTATGGGGATCTGATTTATTGTCATGGTGGTGATTTGCAGTATCATATTTATAAATTGTAAGTGATAGCAGAGAAGTAGATAGAAGTTCCAGTGATCTAAAAGTTGTAATAAATAAATAAATGTCATAATCCTCAGAGGCACAGATGTATAAACTAGCAAATTTGAATACATATCCTTGCTATATTTTTGCAATCATTATTAAAATTTATCTTTGTACTAACAATTTTTTTAATAAATTGTCATGATTATTTTAAAAGTGTTAATCAATGAAGAATTTTCTTTTTCTTTGAATGGTAAGTTGATCTTTAAAAATATTTTAAATTGTAAATTGTACATTTATTACACACTTATGTTAGGAATTCTAGATGGAAACTCTAGTTGCCTAATGGTAAGGGTTTGCTCATTGAGCAAGTGGTTTAAATTTGCAAGATACTCTTTTGGAGAAAGATCTCCTCCTCTGTAATTTGCAGCTTTGAAAAACAGCTGGAGGGTCAGCTGAATTGGTTCCAACTTGATGGTACTTAACAACAACAGGTGGTCCTAGTAGTTTGAAGTCAGCTAAGCCAAAGGTCAGAAATTTGACCATACAGCTGATAGGAAGAAAAGCCTGATAAATTGCTTTTGTATTCAATAGTTCTATTCTGTAACATGTATTGTTGTTTTGTGCTGTGAAGTCAGAACCCACTTACAGCTGACCATTCAGTGGATTTGAAGAGGTGGATTCAGAGTGGCTTTGAGATTGCGGTTCATGTTCTTATCATTGTTGTGTACCGTCAAGTTGGAAGAGACTCATAGTTGACCGTTCATCACCTTTTCATGGACTCAAGACAAGATTGCCCAGAAGCAGCTGGTTGATTAAAATGACTTACCATTGAATTGCTAACTAACCAGTAGACCACAGAATTGACAGACTGTGTTGTATGAGTTTCATTTTTTATTTCAACATATAAACCTTTGCTATTATATACTATTATATTTATACTATTT